TGCGCAGCTGTGTATATGTAAAGAGGGAAGAGGTACGTGTCGGTTGTGTGCGTGTGAAAGAGAGACTTGGTGGGCCTTGGTCCCTAGTGCAAATGGGGGGGGGACACATAAATGCAGCGTGCCAAGGAATTTTATTGTGTATCTGAGTGTGCAACTGCTTCAGAGATGGTCGTGGATTACTTTCTTTTAACTGTGAATAATAATTGGGAAGTTGGTAGCCTTTCAGTTTGTTTCTCAAGCGAGGGAGATCTCTGCCCCCAAATCTGAATTACGATCTGAATTAGTGCGCGTCCGTGTGTTGCGGGGGAGACCGAATTGGAAGATCAGATGCTTGATTTCTTCACGGGAGGTCTGGAAGGGACGCTGACTGCCCCACCTCTCTGTAGAGCTCATCAGAGACGGGGAGCCAAGGGTGACAGATGGTTCAAATCTCAAGAAAGTTTTTTTTTTTTTTTAAGGACTGGTTTGAATTCTGCAAGGCGGACGTTTCCAGGATTTCTTGGAAATTTATGCTAGGAATAGACAAGGAATTTGGGAAAGCAGTTGGCACCTTAGGAAATGCAACATTCAGCTGCCCCCCAGCAGTTGTAAAGAACTCTCCTCTCTCCCAGCCTCAGCCTCCCTGTCACTGAAATGGACGTAACACTCTCCCAGCTTGATTGTAAACATGGGATCCTCGACCCAGGCATCCGGGACGTTGCTAGGAGTACCTGCGACACGTAATCCGATCCAAGGAAGCTAAACAGCTGGAAACTTTACAGGAAACCTTGCCAGAAAGCTGGGCCATAAAAAGAAGTGAACTTAAATGCATCAAAATGTTATTGGATGACAACTGCGTTGCTTTTGGGTGAGGGCATTTCGGATGGAAGCCAGCAGGGAGGCATAAGTGAATAAAAGGGCTGCAAGACTTCAGGGCTTGGGGGTTTTAAATAACAGGCAGGGGGTGTTTAACCAGGGATGTGGAGGGTGTGGATGACCCCCCCCCCCGCCGGCCCACCGTTCCTCTCTCTTCCCCTCTCCTTCGCCATCCCCCAGCGGACACTGCCGCCCCGGCGCTGCCGCGGGGGGCGGGCCG